AACTTGAATCTTTAAACAAAAATGTTTTACATTCCTTCTGAATATATATAGAACGCATTGTGAACGTATTGTGAACGCAGCCAGCGCAGTGAGAACGCCGTGAACACGATGTGAAACATCCTAACGCGCCGTGAAAACTCCGCGGAAGCGCAGTCAATCGACGAGAGATCTAAGTGGGAACGCAGTAGATCGCCGTAAGATCGCCGTAGAATCGCGATCGTCGCCGTAGGAACGCCGTGACATCTACACATTGTGAAAATTTTACAGAAATTTGTGCAATTTTCCTGCGATTCCACGGCGATTTTAAAAATTTAACAACGCCGTAATGACTCCGTACGTGTGAACGCAGTTCGGTGTGACAGGGCCTTAACCTAGCAAATTGATCACGGCGGCTAGCAGCGCCATATTAAATAAACAAAATAACATCCTTATTGTATTTTTGGTTTATAGGATATTGAAATAAAGCTCCCTCGAGGGTCCTCCACACCCCGTGACTTGTGACGTACAGTATATCTAGTAAAATATACTTTAACTTCCATTTGTAGTATCGGGCACAGAAGCGGCCGATCTTTTTTTGGTTGTGTTAGAATGTGCACATGGGGAAATGAGATGTTACTTCTTATTTAGCTATAGAGATAACTATAATGATGCGACATCATGTAAATACATTATTTACATGTAATTATGTTGAATACTTTATCACTCATATGGAGACGCAATCACTAACAAGTGAGGGATTTTTTTGGTCCCAGCATCTGCTGCAACACAGGACCTCAGTTTATACGGTCTCATCCGAAATACTTTTTCGTGCTTCAGTTAAAAAAACTCTTTTCGTACACTGTATATGTATTTGTAGCTAAAACGCTTCCAACCTTTCATTTGGTCATATTTCAGTATGGTAAAACAAAATTAAACCAATTTATGATATAAATTTTAAAGAAAGCAAGATGTCAATTGGCTCATTTTATGCGTTTATTGTATGACTATTCCAGAAGCAAAAGAAACAGATATTAAACAATAGAAGCATAATACTTTTATTTTACACACAATTAAATGTACATATTAAACGATTGAAATGTTATTTAAAAAGCATTTCTTTATGATTTAAATTTCAAAAAAAAAGAAATAGGGTACTTTATTTTCAAAGTCTCACATGAATATGTTATTCGCCTTTGCTCTTATCAATTGCAATAACTCTTATTTGACATATATAGAAACCTGCTCGGATACAATTTTGTAAGCATGATAAATAATTCAAATATTGTTGTTTTTTTTTCATTTACATTTACATGAAGATAAATGCTTGGCATGAAAGGGTAACAAAAAACTCATCAATTCAAATTGCTAAATGCTTGATTGGATATGCAAAATGAAGTTTAATTTCAATTCCAATTTTCAGTTTCATTGAATCTTAGATTACATTTAAGAACTAGGAGCTAAACAATGAGTATTGCTTAAATTATTTACAAAGTTGTATAATTTATCATTGATTTTCCCAGGGTCGATCCTATGTTTCGCCGAATTTTCTAGAAAAAAAGAAACCTTAATCAAACAGTTGTCTTTCTCTTTTACATGAACAAATTATAACACAGATTTATCTTAAATAAAATAGCGTTAAATTTTGGAAAAGTTTTTAAGGTTTGATTTTTCCCTGCATTTCTTATTCTTTTAAATAAAAGAAGGAAAATTGTGACAATTTATGTCAAAAAAATTAATGAGAAAATAGATGTGTCAATTCGGTAATAATCGAAGAGAATAAATGGAAAAAAACATGAATGTCAGTTAACAACTGAACGTGACGATTCAACTTTTTTACTGCTATCTTCTTTTATCTATATAATTGGGTTCACCATCGTTTGTGGTTGGATATGATATTAATTCAACGAGTCGTTTCTCTATTCCGGGGCCTTGGATCGGGGATAGAATAATTATTAAGAGTTAGATAAAAATATATCCAGACATAAATAATTGTCAGGTTCTTTTTATTAAAACATAACTTAAAACAACAAATTCTGAGTTTAAATTGTTACTCCCCGGTGTGCTACTTACCTTTATATAATTTTGACTACTTTGCCTTCTTAATTAGAGTTCATCTGTCAGAATAAATAGAAAAATTTATTATTTAGGATATTCCAACCAATGATAACGAACAGTATTTGAACTCAAAAGTCCATGCATTAAACATAACGAAATAGGAGCAGAGCAATAAAGGACCTCTCAAACATCAGAGGTGGGATCAAGAGCCATTGAGGAGTGAACATCCATTGCCTTCAGGGCCCATAACATACATGTAACAAAGTGAACATTAAGATATCAATTATCAAAGTTCAATGTTGGATGAAAAATTAATCAGACAATCCAATTAATTAACATATCATTGATCAAAATTGGATGAATAATTAATGAGAAAATCAAATCAACTAATATTAAAAAGATCATATACATAATTAATGAAGTTTAAAAAATATGGACACACAAAACAAAGTAATACAGCAGTGGACCCAGCGGACCCAGTTAAGTAAGGAAAAAAAGAGGAAGATGCTCAGATAGGGAGGGATACCCAATATGGGTATACAGATTTGTCGGCTTATTCTTTAAAATGTGTAAATGAAGATTCTTTTTTTTTCAAATTGTAACAATAAATTGTACACGTCATACGTCAAAACGTCTTCATTTTATATGCTAATACTATCATTAATTATATATAAAAAAAAATTTAAATAAAATAAATATCTGAGATTTAAACAATGGCCTCTCACTAAGCAAGAGTCATACCCCTCTTTCTTCGACCATCGGGGAACCTGGTGTTGAGAGGAATAAAAAGCAAATTGTAGGTCACTTATACATGTTAACATCACATTCTACACTGTCAAAATTTTACACAAAACCTAGTGTGCCTATTTTAGCCTTTCCTAAAGCGTTTGACCTCAAATTCAATAGTCTTCTTCTTTTGACCATGGGGAGTTGTCATGTAAAATTTAATTGCAAAAGGTCAAAGGCTTCTTGAGATATCGCTTGAATACGAAAGTGTTTCTAAGAAACAGAAATACAGCAGGACGGACGGACTTCAAAATCAAAAGGAGACTTCTTTAGGACATTTGGGTTTGAAAGAGGCATCCCAAACGTCGCATATTTTGATAAATGATAAGCCTTACAAACAAAGACCAGTATTGATGTGTAATCATGTATTTTCTTCACTTCTGGATTATTGAAGATAGAAGGATAGATGGTTTTCCTGTTGCTCCACAAACGCTAAATGTACTGATTGTACTGTTACGTTCTACTTGTTTCACTCAAACGAATATAACGTATTAGAATATGTCTAAAAACTTGTCCAGGGATAGAAGCGCTTGATTCCCTAGATGAGTGTATTGGTTGTTATTGTAAAAAAAAATATGCGTTCGTTTGAGTGGAACGAATTACAATATAATTAGTGTTATTCTAATATGAGCCACTTTTAAGAATTTCGATATTCGACATATAACTTTCCTTCCAAATTTTTATAGGCTATGTTAACTTGCAGATAATATATGATTAAAAATAAGTCAAGAAAAATACATAACTAACTATACAATAAATACTTCTAATAAAGCTAGACAAGCATGGTATATGTTTGGGGATTATACTTGACATACCCCGTGAGTATTGTTTCAAATACTAAAGGACTATTGCCTTCTTACAAGTATGTTTGGTGAAAGTAACAGAGTGAATATATAACATTTGACATTTGATAAAGTCACAGAAGATAATGAACAATTACGGAGGGCCTCAAAGGATTATTTTGTTAAATTATTTCAGCCTAAATTAAATGTAAATTGAACATTTTAGCTTTAAAGAAATGGTCTATTTTATTACAATATGATTTAATTCTTGTTGTAACACGTCATTTGATTAGGTAGAAGATTTTATTCATTTAGTATAACATAACTTGAAATTAAATTATAAGGAATGAAGCTTATTTCAACTTTTGTTATATGATATAACATAACAGTTTACACTTTTTAATAAACCGCTTCGCGGTTTATAAAGTGTAAACTGGCCCAAATTATGTTATATTGTATAACAAAGTTGAAATAAGCTTCATTCCTTGAGTAAGTGTTTTTAAAATTCTATACTTTTGGCGCCTTTTTGCGTTTACCTGTGCCAATGTATAACGCTGCTTTTCTGATGTCATAATTACGACGTCATAACAACGAAGTTGTATTGTTTTTTTTTATCCTGCAACTACCCCTTGCATTGACCTAATAAAGGTAACCTAATAAACCAAAGCTTTATTCGGTCACTGCCCTAATAAAGCCCCGTGCATGTATTCCGACGTTCCAAAAGCATTGTGACGTCACGTATACTGCAATGTTTACGCCATGGTGTCATAGTTTCAACTGCAGAGATGTGTCTAAATCTGTCGGAATTAGCTTGTTTTGGACGCTCAAATGTAAAATTTTATTGCAGGATAAACAAAATACATGATAACTGTCTTGAAATATAAGCGATATTTGGGCTCGGGTCGAAAACGTAAGAGGGCTCGGCAAGCCTTGCCCTCTATCACGTTTTCTTACCCTCGCCCAAATATCGCTTATATTTCAAGACAGTAACCATGTATTTTATATATCATCATTGTTACACTCTAAAGAGCCGTAACTGCAAAAGCGCTTAGTGTAAAAATTAAATGTGAACTTGTTTGTATATCTTGGATTTAATTTTAATTTATAACTTACCTATACCATGGTCTACAACATTTTCCCTAACATCTGACATATATAGGCAAGTTTTGTGTTTTTCCCAATTACAAGATTTATACTACGTCAGTCTCTGAATATTCTGTATCTTCACGGTTGTTGTTTTGATAAATATAAAATACATGGTTACTGTCTTGAAATATAAGCGATATTTGGGCGAGGGTAAGAAAACGTGATAGAGGACGAGGCTTGCCGAGCCCTCTTACGTTTTCGACCCGAGCCCAAATATCGCTTATATTTCAAGTCAGTTATCATGTATTTTGTTTATCCTGCAACATATTCCAAAACTAGCTTTTTTCGACAGATTTAGGCACGTCTCTGCAGTTGAAACTATGACGCCATGGCGTAAACATTGCAATATATACATGACATCGAAATGCTTTTAGAACGTCGGAGTACATGCACGAGGCTTTATTAGGGCAGTGACCGGATAAAGCTTTGGTTTATTAGGTTACCTTTATTAGGTCAATACAAGGGGTAGTTGCAGGATAAAATTATTTACTATGATATGGATCCTTTACAGAATGTAATCAGTTGAGAAACTGGCCCTTTGAGCATCTTTGAGGGTATAATTGGTAACTTAAACTCAGATTTTCAAAACACTTGGAAGTGTTACCTGAATGTAGAGTACAGTGCCATTCCACTGTTATGATCGGTCCCTGGCATTCTTTTCCGCCATGTTGTGAAGAAGGATTAGTACATGTACGACGTTTTTCTCTTCTAGGTTTTCCGTTGAAAACTTCGCATTTAGTCCACTGAGACCAGTCCGTCCATTCACCATCAACTAAAAGAAGTTCATTTTATCACTAAAAGAGTAAATAATCCACATTTGTTATTTAAGTGTATTCATTATTTTCTGTATTACATGTAGTACCTATTAAATCATTTACAAGAGATGTTTGTAACGTATTCATATTTCTACTGTGAGAAATGTTACCCTGAAGATGGAACGCTCTCTACGAAACACAACGCATGGGGGAGTCGCCAAATAAAATCAAATGGGGTTGTTTAATGTTTTGTTTTTTAGTATAGATTTTAAAAAAGATATAACAAAAAAACTTAATTGAAAATTTTTTATAAGCAAAAAAAATATTATTTTGGTTGGTGGAAGGAGGTTTCAAATGACTTTCACATCCAGATATTATTAATATATCAATACACGAAAACATTGGTGTAGCCATAAATTGTCGCCCGGGGAAAAAATTTTAAGTAAACAATGGAAATTACTCTTTATCATCAAACCGCTTCGATATGTTGCTAAAGACATGCGTCTGAATGATTAAGACTATAGTGGAAGATTTACGGAAAGCTTATAGTCGGATCAAAATCGAACAAAAAAGATACACTTTTAAACTTTATCAATTTCTTGAGTAACTGTTGGCTGCATAAAATATCAATTAAAATCAGACGCATGGATCACCTATCACCAAAAATATTTTTGACTTAATGAATATAAAACACAAACTTTGTAACGCACGTTTTTACGCGATATGTAAAATTTAATGTTCTAAAAATAGGGGGGGGGGCTGTCGTTTTTTCGATATTAAATGATAAGCAACTTTACAAATTAAAGATGAAAAACACATATATATATATATATTTAAAGATGTACTTCATGGAAGTAAGCATATATACAAGTAAGCATATTTTGTATATCGTAATCTATAACAGGTTAGAACATTCTGATGAATATTTTTTAATGTATAGTTAACCTTCAATTTTGAATAAATTCTCCCAACTCAATCCACACACATCAAAACTTAAATTTATATGAATAGAGCAGCCCGGTCCTTTGGGCTGCTATAACCATGATTTCACTATAATGCTACAACAAAAAGTCGGGGTGCGGAGAAGGCCAGTCTTTTGATGACATTTTCAATATTAAAAGTTCATTTTGGAAAAGTGGGAATGGGGAAGAGGCAAACTCCCTCATAGAACGTGCCTGTTTCGTGAAATATAGTTTTTGTTATTCCGGAGAAGGGTTAGGGTCTGCATCTCTTATGATATTAAGAGCTATTAAAATTCACAATGAAAAATAACAGTTATTGACAGGGTAAGGGGCAGCATATGATTTGTTGAGCCTGAAAGTGAAGATGTTGCGCAAGGCCGCAGACCAAGGGCAACATTTTCACCTCCAGGTTGAAAGAATCATATGTTGCACGAATTTAAATCTATACTGTTTTTGATACTTCATTTAAGATTAAATCAATACACACTGTATAATTCATTACTTTATATGGAAAAGGTTTGCTTGGTCAGTAAATATAAAACAATGGCAGAGCAAAAAAAGTGTTATTTATTGCCTGACGTCACGGCGTAGGCACTACTAAGGACCAATATTTCCTAGGTGCGAAACTAAGAGGTCACAGTTAGCCAGCAAAATTTTGTGCATGCTGATTATCATCGGATTTTGTTAAATGCGTTTCAGCAATAACAGTTAGCAGAAAAATCATCATATTGCTGATACAATACATTGGTGTATTTATTTCCTTTAGCTTTTTGCTAGCAGTTATTTATTTCATGCGAGTTCTCATACGGACATGTCCGTTTGACCTTTTTTCTGCATTTCTATACTACTGGATTAGTCCATTTGTCTTCTGTGTAAGGGGTGACACATTTCGCGCCAAAATATCACGTGTAAGTTTTTGCACCCTTTTCCTGGACTCTTCCATTGAATGGAAATGAAAACTGCATGAATGATATAAAGTATGTTCTCTTTTGTCGGAATCATGGTCGAGCTTTGGAAAAAAAACATATCGGTGATATTGTGAAGTGAGTTAGAAGTTACATCATTTATTTAAAGTAATAAAAACGAAACGAACAAAAACCTCTTAAGAAGATGCACTGGCCAAATACATGTATACGTCTGATCATAACCCCCCTCCCCCTCCAGGGGGTTTCCTCCTACAAAAACAGAGTATAGACATGAAAGTGTCCTTTCATATTTCAGGATTGAGAAAGTTTATTACTTTTTTGCTCGTACAAATATTTTTGATGTGTACCCCTTATCCCTGGGAAAAACTTCCTGAGTCCGTGCCAATTCATATATCGCCGTCAAGTTTGTTGGGTCATTTAAGCATATAGGGCTTTATTTATCCTACGTTTCCAACAATCTTTGTTGCTCTGGCATACCCAAAGAAACTAGTAAACATATTCTGGATGTCAGTTATAACCGTTACGATTCCCAATTTCTTGTAGTTATCATATTTTCAGGTGTCTTCCTCAAAGCCTATGCTGTATGCAGTTGAATCTAATTTATGTAACCTTTACATATAGCCATGCTTTCAAGCATTAATCAATTACATTAGTTTATTCCCTTTTTTACTTCATCCTCTAAAACCATTTTTAGACTCGCAGAGTGAGGTGTTCCTCTTTACGTCGCGGGTTCGAATCTACAGCGGGACATGTACATGATTTCATTTTTTATTTGAGATACAAACAATACTATACGATTTATTTAAAATGTGTTCTTTTTCCATTGCTCTGATGAGTATCATACAACTTAAAATGAATGTATGATGTTTTGTGCAACATCTTCATAATTTACTCTAGTGAAACAATTTAACCCTCCCCCCCTCAATGTAAACGTTTATAACTTATCATGCTTAGAGGTTCTATAAATATTGATGGCATTAATCAGGCAAGCTTTTTGAAAAACTGTTACATTAATATGTCAAGAATTATTTATGCAAAGCATATTTTTCCTTTTTCTCTGTCTTTTAAAAAGCTCCTGCAGCTCTTAATTTCGGCTATTTCCGTGTCCCTGATATTTAACGAAAATTAATTGCTTGTGTAGTAGCATTGATGTCTAACAATTTTTATGTTGGACTGGCATGTCTGTCAACAATGTAATTGTTAGTAATAAACATTTTTTTGTTGGATCCCGCCCCTGATGTTTGTGCGGTCCGTGTTTGCTCTGCACCTATTTTGTATTGTTTAATGGATTTTTGACCTTGAATAATTTTCGTTATCTTCATATGTAATCACTGGACTTTTTATTAGTAAGAAGTATATAGAAAGATATTTATTAGGGTATAACAATCAGATATAGGACCCATTTTCTGAAATTATTCTGTAGAAAAGTTGATCTATATAATAAATGAAAGAAAGTGGTCTTTTTATAACCAGAAGTCGAGACTGTACCTCTACTGGTTTCTACTTATTGCAAAGGAAGGGAAAAGTAGCAGTTTGGACTTGACACTTTACAACAGCAATAAATAGAATAAGGATGCTTGATTAAGTTTCTTTTTGTGGCAAGATTGCAACAATATTACAACTGTAGGAGTGACTTTTATTAAAATTTTACAGATTTTCAGTTTTAACTATAATGCCGGATGGCAACATCATTCATCAAAAAAAATAATAATAATAAAGACAATTATGTATCTCAGTGTAGTCTACTTGCCACATTATATTATAATCAGAATAAAACTACAATTGAGGTATCACAGAAGTATTTCACAGAAATTCCTATTCTTAGTTATCAGGGCAACACCATTCATAGAATTCAAAAACTGATATACAGAATTATGTATCTTAGCGTAGTCTACTATGTGTGCCAAGTTATATTGAAATCAGACGAAAACTGAAGGAAGGAAAGCATTTATTTACACAGCGACGGACACAGTTTTGTATTATTTGAGATGTAATGAGTGAAGATTATACTACTAATTGTGACGGTCTAATAATTCTTTTAAAACAACTCGCATTTTGAAAATATAAATATTAATAGCTACATTGTTTCTATTTTACCAATATAATATGTGATGTAATGAACCTAAAAATGCATGGTGCCTAAAATTAGATTAAATTTAATAAAGTTAATGCATTGTAAATGAATGGAACTCTTAATGTTGCATCATTTCATGACAAATGTAATTTTTGTTTGAAATTATATCTGGATGGTTTTCTGTTGTTGTTTTTAATGAAGAATCATAAAGCAGTCAGGAGTGGAACAAAATTATTTCATGTCACCTAAGTGGTTTGTACTCTTTTGAAACCAAAAAAAAAAGCGAATCAAAATTTTAAATACAATATGCTGTTATAAATCGCAGAAAAACTACGCACAATGCCATATATCTGATGAGAAAGATTGTGAAATTCCAAGCTTCTGAGACAAGAGTTAGCTTGTGAGGATGTAGAGCTATTATGTTTGAGCATAGGATTTTTTAATTGTTCTTTAGGAGTATTTATTCCTCATATTTAACATTAATGATTTTCAATCAGTTCAATGAAATATGTGAAGACAAAAACAGTAATCAAGCTCTTCTGTTATTAAACATTACAAAATAAGAGCGGAGCAAACGCGGACCTCCAAAACACCAGAGGTTGGATCAGTTGCCATGGAAGTGCAATCTGCATCAATAATCATTTAAATTTATTTAATTTTAATGTAAAGCAGATGTAACATAAGTCTTATTTATGGAAGGCAAAATAATATAGTTGAAAATAAAATTTGCATTTAGAATCAAAATACTGAGTATCTGCTTCATCAACTTTAGTTGACATGTTTTTTTAAATAAATGTAAATAGTGCATTTCATTTGAATTAAATACTCTGAATATTTAAATTAAGATGTACAACAAAATATGGAACGCCGTAACTGCCTTATGTGGAGAACTTTCATTATATGCTGGTACTTTGTCATTATATGATGGTACTTTATCATCATATGCTGGTTCTCTGTCATAATATGATGGTATTTTGTCACAATTTTGCGCCATTTTTTCCCTTAAACTAGTTTACTAGTTAACGGTATCCCGATCCCGATGTTATACCTATTCAAAAATTATCTTCATATAATGTTGAAGTATCATCATATAATGACAAAGTACCAGCATATAATGACAAAGCACCATCATATAATGACAAAATACCATCATATAATGACAAAGTACCAGCATATAATGACAAAGTACCATCATATAATGACAAAATACCATCATATAATGACAATGTGCCATATATAATGACAAAATACCATCATACAATGACAAAGTACCATCATATAATGACAAAGTACCATCATATAATGACAAAGTACCAACATATAATGACAAAGTACCAGTATATAACAAAAGTTCTCCACATAAGGCAGTTACGGCGTTCCATAACAAAACAAGCCCAAACCAACCCAATATCAACCCCCTTAAAACAGTTAACTACTTAAAACACTTTTTAAAAAATACATACGTTTTTAAACTTATGAAAAAGAAATAGGAGATAACGAACAGTATTCAAACTCCAAAGTCCATTAAACAATACAAAATAGGAGCAGAGCAAACGCGGACCTCCATAACATCAGAGGTGGGATCAGGTGTCTAGGAGGCACTTTAAAAACTTTGATTAACAATAATTAAAATTCTAAACTTTCATGTAAAAATTCGATAATTTTTTTTTTTTTGCATATTTAATCTACTCCTCTAAAACTTCGGAACTGTGATTTACTGAAGAAAAAATGTGATTTACTTTATTTTAAAAACGTTAAAACTTTAATAAGTTACAGCAAAAACGTAGGAACTTAGATTTAAATTTTGCACATAAAATGTTTTGAACTTTGCTTTTCTAGAGTAAAAACTTACTAGGAGCTTTGATTTACACTTATGGAAAACTTTGAAACTTTGATGAATAATAGTGAAAACTTTGAAACTTAGATTTATATAGAAAAAAAACCCATTAAACGTTGTGCTACTAAAGAGTAAGAAACTTTGATTTTCGTAATTGAAAAACTTGGAACTTTTTGTTTTATTTATTTAAAAAACTTTGAAACTTTGATTAATGAAAAAGTGAAAACTTTGGAACTTAAATTTATATAGTATTTTAAAAACTTGGAACTTTTTGTTTTATTTTTGGAACTTTAAAAAAAACTTTGAAACTTTGATTACATGAAAAAGTGAAAACTTTGATTTAAATTTATATAAAAATGTTTTTTAACTATAATAAAACCTTCGGAACTTTGATTTATATAGTAAATAATGATTAACTATAATTAACTATAATGGTATTTTTTGCTATGTTTTCCCGACTACCAGACTTATATTTTGTCGATCTCTGATCAACTTGTTTCTCCTTGTTTGTTATTTTGATAATATTATTTACTATGATGTGTATCCTGTATAGAATGTTGTAATCAGGTCAGAGTTTAGCATCTGGAGCATCTTATAATGTTTAAAGATTTAATTGTTGACCTATAAGTCAGATTTTCAAAAGCCATACAAGTTTTACCTGGTGGAGTACACTCTTCTTTTTCATAGTCCATCCCCTTGCAGTCTTTTCCGCCATGTTGTGGAGAAGGATTGGTACATGAGCGAGATTTTTTTCTTGTACCCTGTCCGTCCTTTATGGCATGACATTTACTCCACTGAGACCATTCTGTCCATCCACCATCAACTAAAGATTTTTTTTTTTGTTACTTAACAAGTAAATACTCAATGTTTATTATATAAAAATATTCATTATTTTCATTACTAAATGTAGTAACAATTGAGTAAGTTCCAGGATATGTTTGGAATGAATTCATATATCCACTGTGTTACACTGAAGATCAAATGATCTCTACATGTATATGAAATATATGTAAATAACCAGTAGCACCCCAGCCCAAAAGCCAAAAAACAATAAAAATAAGAACAAAGTAAACATAGACCCTGAAAGTGTCAGAGATGAGATCAGGTGACATCGAGAAGTGAACACCCCTGCCCACAGGTCATTCAAATGGTGTGCATCTTGCCATGGTAGGGAAGATAATGTAAAAATCCGTCGATAAATGGTATATACTAGTAAAAATAGTCTTTTAATTAGTATGAGAAACGTCAGACAGCATTTGCTTTCATGATAATTTGTATTTTCAGGCAAGGTCATTATATCGACCAAAGAAAAGATGACGTTAAACGAAACTGCTGATATTTTTGTTTCATCAACTGTTTTGTTAGTAATTTACCTCGTTTCGAAATTGTGCATACGTAGAGCCTGCTTGCGGGTATCGAATCCACTGAGAAATAAAAAAAAACCAGTATGCAGCTAATGAAAGTATATTGATTCATAAGGAAGGGAAGATAACGATTGGAAAAATAAAGTTGTCATGTTTATCATAAAGCAGAGTGTAATTATACATTTCGAGGTGGTCACGAATTGGAGGGCCTCTCCATACCTCAAACTCAGTGAAAATTAAACTAAGGGATTTCACAGTAAATTAATCAGATCTATGAAAGCAGCTACGTATCTATGATACGTCTCCTTGTCACAGCATTTTTATAAATGATATATACCTGCTGTTGACGCCAGACTTACGGATATTGGGCTTAGTTACCAGTAGGCTCAATGAAGTCTTTTTCATCCTTTTAACAAATGTTTTCAAGTATGGACTGTAAATCAGTGAACATATGTACCAAAGGTTCTTATTGCCATTGCCATTAAAAGGCAGTATATTGATGCCTCATCTCCCTCACCATGACCCAGTCAGCCAATAAAATTGTAATCAGTACCATGATTATTCTGTTTTTGTATACAATAATACAACTGGTAGTCTCTGCTTCTAAGATTATTTCATCTTTGATAATGGCCATGTTAAATTGTAAAAAAAAAATTGATGAGATTACATGTAACTCTAGAAAAATGAAAATGTGCACAATATATGTTGCTATAAGATCAAAATAGACAATAATAATTGTATGGAGATTATACTTGGCATACTCCTTAAGTATTCTTTTGAGTACTAAAGCACCATTGCTTTATGTTCGGCGAAAGTGATGGTAAGAAGATAACAATGAAATGAATAGGCAAGTTTCGTGTTTTGTTTTTTTTTCGAATACCAAACGTAATTTGTCGATCTCTGATCATCCTGTTTCTCCCCGTTAACCTTGTTGTTTTCATAAAATTATTTACTATGATATAGATCCTTTGCAGAATATTGTAATCAGGTGAGAAATTGGGCCCTTGAACATTTTGTTATGTTTGAAAAATTTATTGGTCATTTTTAACTCAGATTTTTTAAAACTATAGAAGTGTTACCTGAAGGTGGAGTACAAATTTCCTTTTTAGAGGTTTTTCCCTCGCAATCTTTTCCGCCATGCTTTGGAATAGGATTGGTACATGTGCGAGTTTGTTTTCTTCCACCATATCCATCAATGACATTACCGCATTTACTCCATTGAGACCATTCTGTCCATCCACCATCAACTAAAAGAGATTGATATCACTAAACAATTAAATACTGAATATTCTTTGTATCTTTATCTGAATTTATTTTTTTTATTTTCATCATTACAAAGTAACACAGGTACGAGGGTTGTCCGTAAAGTTCGTGGACAAGCTTGGAATTAAATAAAAGTTGCGTCATTGATATTTATTGTTAGCATATTTCCAATCCTTTACTAAATGTGAACTAAGAAATGTAAAATCTGATTCAATTTCAAATGTTTAAATACAAGTATGACTTCATAATTAGACTAGGAATGGAGACCCGGAGCATCGCAAAATTTTAATTAAAAATTTATTTATCACTTTATGAATTTTATTTGTATTTTATAAAATTCTGCAGAAATCTATATGACTTTTACATTATGAGGTTGACAGAATTTATCACTTCAAACCTACAAAATTTGAACATTCAAAGTTGTAAAATGACCGAGCAATCAAAGTTAGAACATCGAAATTGTTCAAAAAAAAGGGACGTTTTCGGAATAGGTGGAGCACTGAGCAGTTACAAAATTTTGCGTAGACATCGGATAAACACCTACAGAGACCAATACATTTTGTAAATAATCGGGAAAACATAGTAAAAGAAGCCGTTTATTAATATTTAAGTGGCATATAATATTTTCGGACGGAAGGAACAGTTTACAGGATGACATGCGCGAAGGAGGACCATCATTCCGAGATAGCAGTCCTGTAAAATATGAACTTCCTAACGTGACTTTACCGTATTTCCATAAATAAAATCGTTTTTACGGAGGTTGGAAGTTGGAGGATTGCAGGATATGAGACAGGCATTAGTATTGTTAAATATTATTTTACGTATGAAACCTGAACATTTTATGCACATGTTTATGACTGGTTAAAGCAACAAACAAGAAATGTATTGAGTTAAACAGTGACTATATTTGAATCAAATAAAATACATGTATGTCAATATGCATATAAAGATTTGATTGCTTATTCTTTATTATGTGTATAGAAGATTCTTTTTATATGGAATATTTATCACACTGTAATGATGATTTTATAACCTCATAATTTTTTCATTTCACATGCTGAATACTATCATTTAGTAAAAAAAAAAAAAGAAAAGTATTTAAAAAAAAAAAAAAAAAAGAAAAGTATTTTAAAAAAAAAAAAAAAAAAGGATCGACCGAGATTCGATACCGGGACCTCTCACAGGTGACGCGAGAGACATACGGAATCGCTTTAGTTGATATTAAGTATATGCAGAACTGAAGTCATTCATGTTCGGTATTCTCAAAATTTTACACAATCCATGGTGTTTGATTTATTTAGCCTTTGTTATACAGTTCTAATAGATGTAATAAGAACATAAAGTCCGCCGAGAACCTGTTTTATACGCAATAACTCTCGAAATACCCCTGTGCTAAAAATAGCGACATGTAATACTATAAATACTAATAAAACAAACGGGGCGGGGTACTTTGAGAGGGGTGAGAGAGGTCCTAGGGAGTTTTGGTATAAAATTACATTGCATAAGCTCAAAATCTTCTTGAAATATCGCCCGGAAATGATAGTGTTACACACAGACAGAATGTATAAATTTACGACCTTGAACTTTGACCTTTTGACCTCAAAATCAATAGGGGTCTTCATTAGGCCACAGGGAGTTGTTATGTAAAATTTCATTGTGATAGCTCAAATGGTTCTAGAGATATCGTGTGGAAACGAAAGTGTTATAACAGACAGACTTTGCTTATTTATGACCTTGACCTTTGATCTTTTGACCTCAAAATCAACAGGGATCTTCTTTAGTCCATAGGGAGTTACTATGCTAAATTTCATTGCAAAAGCTCAAAGGGTTCTCGAGATATCGTGTGGAAACGAAAGCTTTACAGACAGACAGAAAGACGGACGAAGGGACGGACGTACACCCAAATTGATATCCCCCACTTTATAAGCGGGGGACAAAAAGTTACATGTACTCGTATAATGCTTTTGACGTCGGGTAACGTCAAGAATTTTCATTTTAGTGCTACGGGTATGAGTGTCTGTCTTTTTTAATCTGATAAAATATAACTATTTAAGCTTTATATTCGTTGAAAACTTGCATGTTAATAAAACGAAACATGAATTTAATGAAAATAATAGTTTCATATATTATATCAATGTTTGTCAGTAATTATCAATGTTGTCCACGAACTTTACGTACAACCCTCGTAAAACAAGGCACTTCTTTATGAAAAGTGATCAAATTCATAATATTCAAATTAGATTTCTTATTTAAAATCACCCTCAAGTGATTAAAAAAAATATAAATGTTACAACATATCATTTGTAAATTTTATAATATTCTCGGCTAGGACTACTTGTCAATGATGCATATTTTAAAACCATCTCATACATATTTTCCAAAACACGATCTTCCCATGTTTACAATAACTTCTTTTTCCTTATCTTTTTTTCCTTAAATTTCATGGTTTAATCTATTGCTTTAAATAGATTTTCAATTGCGTATTGAAATTAACGGACTTGTCACCTTTTGTTGATTTTTCGCACAAGGAAGGCAATTTCTTTGAGCAATCTTGTGGATAAGTGTTGGGATAAAGTGTTCCGTCTTCCTTCACTTTAACTGCTACGCAGTGAATATGTTCTGGGTTACTGCTGACCCAGTTACGAAATATTTTTGGGCTCATTTTGGCACCTGAACAAAAAATATATACATATCAAACATAAAAATGAAACGTACTATAATACTTTCATGGTCTTTTCATTTAAAACTGTTGATTAATTTCACTTTTCTGTCTTTTGGCGGACTTTTTAATAATATGAGGGATCACGTTTTACCAGGGAAGGGTTTCAAATAAATACGTAAAGGTACCCTCGGAACCATCAAGCAGCGAGGGATCTTAAGCTTAACGTGAAAGGTGCTAGCGACAGGGGGTCCCTCTGTTTAACATCTCATCCGAGAAACCCACAACTTTCATTTAATTAACAGTACCGAGGATGTGTCCAAAGACCTGCTGCTATCTATATTTTACCGACTTAGATTTGTCCCGACCAAAGCTTGATTTCAAGACCTTCCAGTCATGTGAACTGCTCCAGAAAGATAGATAAAATCCGAGAATGTTTGAGGTTTTTTTTGAAATGTAAATTTTGACTATAAACTAAAGTGAGCTATAAGGTCAAAAATTTAAATAGATTTGTAAACGTAAATTTATATCAATTGAAAAGATAACACTGTGATAAAATTTAAAGCCATTTAAGAAAACAGTCAAATGCCGAAAAATATAAGCCATGGGCCATGGTCCAACTTCTTTGTATAAGAAAAACATAAAGAAATTTTTTTTAAATCAAATGACTTTCCTGCGTAAAAGAAGAATTTAAATCATTGCGTGATGTTAATGCATTAATTAATCTACCGGGACTTCTCCAGATTTCGCGGCTTTGTCTGTAAAATCCTGTCCAAAATGCACGATATTTGACAGAATCAGTCAAGCCTGTATAATAACCAACTACGTCTGTCTTCAAAGTACCACACTGTCTAACAGCTTCAGTCCAGGTCACCTCTGCAGTTGATACTCGGCCATCTAAAATACAATCACAATGAGGAACTCAGTTCACAGCAAAAAAGTCCGTCTTACTCGTGGAAAGCCATTTGGTTTGTACAGTTTAAGCTAGTAAGAATATTGTTTTGAGTTCAAGAAAAATGTACAAAAAACGGTAATCTTACAACCAAGCTCTGTGATAAACGTGATGACTTTATATTTTCTTACGTCAACTTCCCTTACTTATGCAGCAATATACCTTCATCATCTGCACAAAAAGTTTATGTATCTCAGTTGATTCGATAAGCAAGAGCATGCTCCACGTATGAACAAATTCTACGAGTTAATTATTGACAAGCAAGTTGATGAAACAAGAATATCAGCAGTCTCGTTTAAAGTCATCATTTCGTAAGTTCTCTGGTCGATTCAATGACCTTCTCAGCAAATACAATTTATCATTAAGTCAAATGCTTACTGACGTTTTTCATGTTAATTGTTAGTCCATTATTTACTAAGTATGCACTGAATTGACCACGGATTTTTCCGTTATTTCTCGATCATGACAAAGAGCACACGGCGGGTGTGGTCGGTAGGTGATGCTCATTCCTCCATGTCGTGTGATCCCACCTCTAATGTTTTGGAGGTCCGTGTTTGCTCTGCTCATATTTTGTATAGTTTTATGGACTTTTTATGTTGAATGCTGCTCATTATTTCCATATGTTTCATTCTATTTACATTTATTTTATGATAGAAATTATAATAATGGAATTTTTTTTTTCTTACTTGCACACATGTACCCAATTCTGTTCAGACAGGAAGAAAACTGATGCTGTATCGGAAGTGATCCTAGATATCTCACAGCTGCGCAATTACCAAAATCAGGCGCTGAAAAAGAGAAATAAGAATATTTTGATCACTTTATTGTATTAACTTATTTTGGTGCATCATTAAATCAAGTCTTATAGTGCGATTTATTCAGTTTATATTCAAGTCAATTATGATGTTTATGACACCGAATAAGGGACACTTGACTTCGAATAAACTTAAGGTCAATAAAAAAATAGCACGTATTACATTGTGTAACTTATCTTATATTACATTATTAAATTCGAGAGTTGATCCAAAAGTAATATCACAACTTCTATAAATTTGTAACAAGTCGAAGTAAAACATCAAAGTTAAAAATGATGGAAGCTAAATTTATTTCAAATCAGACCTGAAAATTTCAATTCAACATGTTTTATACTTTTAAAAATATTTTTTATACAAAGTGCGATTTTGGTAGTCGTCGCACCTAAATAGCGTCATACAATAGATACACGCCGTCATACACTCAAACGTTTTTTTTTCAATAACATATATTTGAGATTCACGAACACGTTTACAAATTTTCTTTTTTTTTTTTTGAAAGAATTCTTGGTACCCATCGTACACTTACCCTTTTCATAATTAAGCCTTATGTCAAAATTCTTTGAACAGTACAATGTTAATTAGAGTTATATATCTAAATACATATTTTGGTATATCGTATTTGACAATATTACGCCAAATATAAAAGATATGGACACTGTGACATTACTTTTAGATCAATCCTAGTAATTCATTTTAAATATCAAATAAACATGCCCCGCAAACTTAAGTTTTACCGTATGTCGAAGGACTGTTTTTAATGTGTTGATACACCACCACACTTTCGGCATTTGGTGCACCAAACAGTTCACCGGGGTACTCTGGCAAAGTCTCATAAAAGCACTGTTCCTTTTTCTTGCGGAATTTCTGTACATCTTTATAACAGTAACATGTTGTTTTCTATTAAAAAAAATTCCATATACCTGATGGATATGTATAATTATATAAAATATGACATTAAAAAAGATAGCTTTTTTCGAGATTGGTTATTTTCCACAAAATTCTGAAAAAAGTCTGATAAAAATGAGTAAAATTAGAATAATTATTGAAAACTTTTTATTAATACCAAATCTAAAGTTGAATCAAAGATTGATCAAAACAAAAATGCATGATTTGTAATTGAGAGTCGTTGTGATTTACTACATATTTACTCCTCCCATAACAACAGGGGCCATGGAACTGAGTTCAATATATTAATCTGCATCAATATCAGAAAAAAAAATATCAGCATTCAGCTAGAACATGTAGAAATTGCATAATCATAGCAATAAGATGTCGTTAAATGAACTCTTCATCAAGAGAAATAATTAGAAAATAACTCGTATGTACGTGAATATTCTAGTAATACCAAATAAAAAATATCCTGAAACTTAGAAAAAAGATATCCCAATCAGGAGAAAAGATTTTCTTGTAATAACTAGAACTTCTTTCGATTCGAAATGATGGATTTTTTTTCGCTTAAGGATGGTATAATTTTTTTTTTGTAATAATGAAATATTTTCTCAAAAATATGAGACGTTGTATCATAACAGTATTGTTTTTCTAATGACGTGATCTGATGTCGCCGACAGAGGTTACTGTGTTTGCTGTAGAGTTAAGGAGTAAGAAGCTAATTCTGTACTCACGCCTTTGAATCCCACTGTGGAATGTGAAGACCGATCCTTATAATGAGACCTACATGTATTAACCTACTAAAAGATTTCACTGCTCAAAGGCAATAATAAGTGCAGGTCTTAATTTGCATCCATCAATCGGCAAGTGGTGGCGACTTAATATGAATGAATTTTTTGGAAAGGCCATTAAACAAACAAAAATAAAAGATATTTTCTCTAAATTACAAAATCACATTTTTGTATAAAGAGATCATTCCTTGTAATTTTATCACTATTATGAACGTATAACATTCCTAGCTATAAAAGTTATGCACATTTTGCATTTAAGTAAAATATACTCGAAATTTCCTACTGCAAAAAATCACTATTACAAATTGTATAGAGAATATACCAAATCAAGAAAATATAAATGTCGCCAATACAAACAATGTTTATTAAAACAACTAGAAATGTTACACGATGAAAACCCTAAATCTTACTAGAATCTAATAGATAAGCTTCAAGGATTAGAGAAAAATAACGGTACTGAGGCAATTGACTCTTCAATATGAGTCTCCCATTTTAAAGACCTAAACAAATCTAAACCAAACTTTAACCATCGTTTGACACATTTAGATAGCATTCTCAATGAATTAGAAAAAGAAACATGTTTTAATGAATTAGATAGACAGATATTCTTATCAGAAATCTCAAATGCTATTGGAAAAATAAAAGTTGGAAAAGCTCCAAGGTTGTTTCTAACCACATGATCAAGAACGGTCAAACTGCCCTGTTGCCCTGCTTTTACAAAATTTTTAACAACTGCCTCACTATTGGCCACTATCCTAAATCATGGGCCTTGGGCTACATTACTCCTATCCATAAAATCTGTTATCCAAATAACTACAGAGGCATGATACTTACGAATGCTATTGATAAAATGTTTCATAAAATACTTGACATTGTATTAGATAAATTTCTTACAAAACATTATATAATTAGTGAATTTCAAATAGGATTCACTCGAAGAGCAAGGACATCAGATCATATGTTCATGCTTAAGACATTATTGATAAATACTGTAAAACCAAAGAGGACCGAGTGTATACATGTTTTGTTGACTTTCAAAAAGCATTTGACACAGTTATCCACACAGGAATCAAAATTAAACTGCTTAGAATAGGGGTAGGAACAAAATTTTATGAGGTTATTAAGACAATGTATGCACTAAGCGAATCTTGTGTCCGTCTGGATAGTAATATCACAGATTTTTTCCAAATAAGAGTGGGTGTAAATCAAGGTGATAATCTCAATCCTAAATTATTTAAAATATTTATTAATGATCTCCCAGAGTATCTTAACTCAACTCTTGATCCTGTTATTTAACATTCGCACCCCCTTCATTGTTTGATGTATGCTGATGACATTGTTTTATTGTCATCCTCAGCTAATGGTTATCAGCAAAAATTAAATATCTTACAGAGATACTGCAAGGACTGGTGTTTAAATATTAATACTTCAAAAACAAAGATCCTCATTTTAATAAAGCAGGCAGGTTATTAAAATGAAAATTCTTCTTTGCTGATGTTGAACTTGAGTGTGTGTCCAACTACAAATACCTTGGGTCTCATTCTGCACCTCTGGTTCATTTTTCCTTTCACAAAAACAACTATCAAAAAGCTGTAAAAGCATTTTTTAAACTCAACAACGACATAATCTCATTAAAAAACCTGATATTGAAACCATTATTCATATATTTGACCACACCATCAAACCAATACTGTTATACTCCTTTGAAATCTGGGGTTGCTTTAATCCATTTACTAAGAAATTCACATATTCTAGCTGTACCATAGACAGAGTTTATTCCCTTTATTATATGAAAAACTCCATATTAAATTCTGTAAATCAATTCAATCGACAACAAATTTTGTTGTATTGCCTGAATCGGAAAGGTTTCCCCTGCACTTTGACGTATTAAAAAGCATGCTAAGTTACTGGCACAAACTAGAAAATTTTGGCCAATCATTCACTTAATTGCATAATGCATTCTCTGAATCGAATTTACTTTTTCAGCAAAACACATCTTCATGGTATGGCTCAATCAAGTTTTTTCCTTTCTAATATCATTGAAATTAAAGATGTGTCTTCAATAAAAACATATAAAATTAAAACTGACATTAGGAACTAAGTAAACACTACATTAAAGAATGGCATTTTCATCTCGGACTAAACTCTGACAAAAATTAAGAATCTACTGCACCTTTAAACAAAATTTTAGCTTTGAGAACTATTTAAGATCAATTAAAAACTTTGAACATAGAAGAAATCTAATACGCTTTCGAATATCAGCCTATAGACTCCAAATTGAAAAGGGGCGATATCGAAATGTTCCTCGACATGAACTGTTTTGTCAAAGATGTAACAACAATTTAGTTGATGATGAAAAACATGTTTTATTCTTATGTCGTCATGTAAAATAGGAAGAAAGGGCTATTTTGTATAAGATAATTGAAAAATACTGTAAGAATTTTGATAAGATGGACAATGACCAAAAATTAATATGGTTAATGACCTATGAAAATGTTGAAATTCTTGTAAAATGATTCAGAACAATGGAATCTGATTTCTGAAGAATTCTATTTTTATGCATTACATTACAAGTTATATACTAGGATGAAATTTATGGAGATAAGGAACAGTATTCAATCTCAAAATCCATAAAACAATACAAAATAGGAGCAGAGCAAACACGTGAACATCAGAGGTGGAATCAGGTGCCATCGAGGAGTGAGCATCCCCTGAGGATCCTTTAGCTGTCTTGGCTACTTGGGGTACAAGACTGACAGTCTGTATTGTCAGACTGTTCAATAGGCACCGTCCCTTGGTGCCCCAAGTAGTCAGGCCAACAAATTAAGTTTTCCTCCTGCAAGCTGTCTTGATTGCTTGGGGTACAAGACTGAGCAAGCTGGTTTTTCAGAGTTTATTTTTTTCCAGACTGCTCAATAGGCATCGTCCCTTGGTACCCTATGCCACCAGGCCAACAAAATGTATACTTTTTGTAATAATGTTGATTAATATAGGATAACATGTACTTGTTTGCTACTATCCGTCTGGTCATTTCAGTATAAAATGTAGCTTGGTTTTTTTCTTTATATTGTATCATTATTACATTATATGCGATGCTTATATTTCATTGTGAACTATACCAGTATTTCAAATCTGAGAACTGAGAAGTGAGGATCAAGTCAATTTTGCACCTGATGCAACCATTGCCTGTTAATGTTGTTATAATCATGATTATATTGTTTGTTTGTTTTTCAATTGTATATGCCCCCTGAGGGCCCTTGATTTGTGAATTTGAAAAAATAAATAAATATAAAGAAGCGCGGTCAATATGCACCAAAGGTGTCAAATATTTGGGGTACTTGTATATTACCGATATGCCTATTTCCGTAATACCATCGAAGCCATCACAAAAATTCATGCAGCTGTATGTGCGTTTTGGTTCACGAAAAGCACTACAATCAAACTCCTTTTGTGCAGTCGCATCATAGGTCTCAAAGCAACCTTCAATTAAAAAAAAATCAAAATTTCACCCTAACACCTCTAATGGCATATTATAATTATATAATTAAATTGTTGGGTAAATGCTACATTCACCTGTAGGAGCATAATTTATGCGAGTTCTAAACAGATTTTTTATTTTGCTAATATTTACACGCATTTCTTCGAGACATTTGTCCTTTAAAAACTTCTGTATAATGAACGGTAAATTAATGATAAAAAAATTTTACTCTCATTTTTGCATTTATTTTAGCACTCATAAATGTACACATATGGAATACTACTTTCACCGAAAATAGACACATAATATTTGGAAGACATATATCTTTATTTTGAGTAGGGATACCATGTGTACATCCTATTCTCATTAAATTTTGGCCCCTCCTCACTCTTTAAAGCCCTTAAAATATACGAGACCTTACGTGGAAGTACCTTAATGCTTGGGAAAAAAGGGCATTTTTTACCTGCTTTCCAATATAAGACATAATTATATCAACAAACTCCATGCTCATAATAACAAAGAATTGATTTATAAGCATACAATGTATAATTTTATAGTTTTGCTAGGTTTTTGGCTACATGTATTCCAAGGTATTAGTGAATACATCGTATTGGACAATTGTTTTCGGTACGAGACAATGTGCGAAATAATAACAACAGCTATATAAAGTAGATTTCTCAGACATGCGCATCCTTCTATTGTACTGAGACCCTCCTATTATATATCAACTCATAATGAACAAATTCTCACTAACCAGGTTAAGTTATGCTGTCATGGGGTCTAAAAATTATACGTAAGGCGATATTCCTTATAATTTTAATGTGACGGAACTATTGAAACTATTTATTTATTCACACTTATTTCAAAGCTATCAAAAATGTTGTTCAATAAATGTAAAGTTGTGTACAAAAAAGGTCCCTAGACCGTAGTTTTGGCACATCATCCTTTATCCATAGTCATCAGATAGATCATCAAATATGTTTTTCCTTTCTTATAATTTTTGTCTAGCATTTTTTTCAAAGTTTAAAATTACTTTTAATAGAATTTTGTTTCGAGCAATTTTTTTTTTAATTTGGATTTTTTAAAAAGAAGAACAGACATTAACATAAGACATAATTATTCAAAATTAAAATACCTTTGCCACGTATCTAAATATGCACAAACTATTACCCAAAAGTTTAAACCATGGAGTCTGATGAACAGATCCTCCTATCCAGAAAAACTGATCCTGACGGAAACCGGAAGGTCGTGCTGGTACCCTGAATCGGGCAGTCCTGAGCAAATTGGTATCTTCCCAGGCGCCCAGTTGCTGACAATTTGCAGAAGACTCGTGCCAGCTTCTGGGTGTTGTGTCATAGTAGACACCTAATAACCAAAAACCGTGTTATAAAAGACCTGCCATCACAATTCTGTTTGGACAAGTTCAAATATCTTTTTTGTAATACATGCACTAAATAGAAAAAATCGTTTGGAATTATTTTAATACAAATGCATTAACATTCTTTTTTTCTTATTATATGTTTAATGTTACTGGACTTCATTTTCTAAGTAATAGTTGTGTTATATTTTCCATACGAGAACGATAAAGGTATGCTAAATTAGCATCGTTTTTTACAAACATCTAGTGTAATCTTTTTAAAGAACAAATTTGTCTTGATTTATGACACTTACCTCTATCGTCAGCTCGAACAACTGAGAGCCAAAAAACCCACAGCAAAATGCCGAGCCTATGAGACACCATAGTTATCTTCAGAGGGCCCTGTGAAAGCAGACACTCTGGGTCGAAGGAGAACAGCTTAGCGTAACGTTGTATATTTACGCTCAGCGTTCTTGATCAACATTTGTTATAGAAACACAAAATGCAGGATCTAAAGATTGCTGAATTAAGATTTGTGTGGTCTACATCCTTGTTTTTCATTCTGACAGTAAACATGGTTCGTCAATAAACATGTAAGAAGGTTAGCTATTGCGTATATTTATCTGAGATGAAAATAATTACATAGAAAACTACAGACACATCCCATGTTTGTCAATTTATAATTTTTTACCGATTTAAAACTTAGATCATTTCATGTTTCATTGTTAAATTAACATAAAATTTGTTATTGTACTAAATATGAAAAAGAATCGCCACAAGCACGATTGCATAACATCAAAACCTTGACAGATAAAGTTGTCAGTACGTTTTTAGCTCTACTGGTCAGAGACCAGAGAAGAGCTTATGCGATAGTAATGCGTCCGTCGTCCGTCCGTCTGTCTGTCCGTCTGTCTGTCTGTCTGTCTGTAAACAATTTTTCAAAATGCTACTCCTCCTACAGTTTTGGTCCGATTTCAATATAACTTGGCACACAAGTAGACTACACTAAGATACATAATTCTGTGCATTGGTTTTTGATTTCGATGAACGGTGTTGCCGTGGTTACTAAAAATAGAAATTTCTGTGAAATTCTTTCAAAATGCTACTCCTCCTACAGTTTTGGTTTGATTTCAATATAACTTGGCACACAAGTAGACTACACTAAGATACATAATTCTGTACATGGGTTTTTGATTTCGATGAACCGTGTTGCCGTGGTTACTAAAAATAGAAATTTCTGTGAAATTCTTTCAAAATGCTACTCTTCCTACAGTTTTGATCCGATTTCAATATAACTTGACACACAAGTCGACTACATTAAGATACATAATTCTGTGCATCGGTTTTTGATTTCGATGAACGGTGTTGCTGTGGTTACTAAAAATAGGAATTTCTGTGAAATTCCTTTCGAAATGCTACTCCTCCTACAGTTTTGATTCGATTTCAATATAACTTGGCACACAAGTCGACTACACTAAGATGCATAATTCTGTGCATCGGTTTTTGATTTCGATGAACGGTGTTGCCGTGGTTACTAAAAATAGAAATTTCTGTGAAATTCTTTCAAAATGCTACTCCTCCTACAGTTTTGGTTTGATTTCAATATAACTTGGCACACAAGTAGACTATACTAAGATACATAATTCTGTACATGGGTTTTTGATTTCGATGAACCGTGTTGCCGTGGTTACTAAAAATAGAAATTTCTGTGAAATTCTTTCAAAATGCTACTCCTCCTACAGTTTTGATCTGATTTCAATATATCTTGGCACACAAGTCGACTACACTAAGATACATAATTCTATGCATCGGTTTTTGATTTCGATGAACGATGTTGCCTTGGCTACTAAAAATAGAAATTTCTGTGAAACTATTTCGAAATGCTACTCCTCCTACAGTTTTAATTCGATTTCAATATAGCTTGACACACAAGTTGACTACACTAAGATACATAATTCTGTGCATCGATTTTTTATTTCAATGAAAGGTGTAGCCATGGTAACTAAAAATAGAAGTTTCTGAGAAATTCTTTTAAAATGCTTCTCCTACAGTTTTGGTCCGATTACAATATAATTTGGCACACAAGTAGACTATACTAAGATACATAATTCTGTGCATCGGTTTTTATTTTGATGAGTGGCAAGGATCATTTTTCTATTTATTGCTGTTTTAAAGTTTCAAGTCCCAACTGCTACTTTTCTCTTCCTTTGTTTTAAGTATAAACCAGTAGAGCTACAGTCTCGACAGAGACTTCTGGTTCTCAATATAAACATAATTTTCTATATATAAATAGAGACAGGATAAAAAAAAAGTTACCATTGATTCAACCAAGTTTAATGTCGGACTCCATACTGATTTCTGAGAAGCACAAAAATGTACGGAAAAGATTGAAGTATTTATGCACAATACGAAATTGAAATACTAAGAATGTATTAAATTTCAGAGGATTAAGTCCTATTTGAAATTTTCTATTTCCTCAGATATTTTAAAAAAAGTGCAACTTTGTAAACAAAAGAAATAAAAAAATAATGAAGTCTCTAGTCAAACCAAAGAGTTTTACGAAACATAAAAATATATAAATATTCCATAATCGATCAATTGTACTTAAATTACATTTGGCATTTTTATCAATATACAGTCAGATTCAAGTTATTCTTGTCCAATTTCCTTTCACAAGGAAAAACGCATCGAATGTGAGAATAAAAATAAAAGAGAATGCACGTTATCTCTTGAACACTCACAGTGTTGAATTATTATAGACTCAAATGCTGAGTGTATTTTGACTTCAATCGTCTCACATCAAAATTCCGCTATTACTCTTATCATTTGCGAGGACTCTTACTGGACATGTCATAGAAACTAAGTCAAAAACAACTTTGTGAGCTTTATATGTAAGTCAAATATTTTTTCATGTTCTTCACTTCATTGTTAAGGGTACTTCACATGAACAAAAATGTGATGCATGGATTGATATATATTTTTTGACTGATTTTGATTTGAAATGACCCACATTTTTAAAAATCCCTGAAATATAATGAAGCCGTAGGTTTTCTTTGGCGCTTAAATATGAAACTTGGTTTTGCTTTCTATGTAATTCTATATAAAATTTTAATCTTATGACGAAATTTTATAAAATTCCCCAACTATACTTGGTTAAATGTATTCAAATTACCAAGTTAAATGTAAATCTATGAGAAGTATTGCTGATTTTTGAAAAAAAAAAGTTTGTGTTATTTATCCTTAATACATTAATTAATCGATCGCTCAGAATTTCCATAGGAAGATACGTGCATTGATTTGCATGAAAGGATAACAAAAACTTATCAAATGAAATTGATTAATGCATGAATGGATGTACAAAAAGTTGAAGATGAGTTTCCTTTAAAATTGAAGGTAATGCTTAATGGAATATTGCATATACCAAAGAGTCTCATAAACAATAAGTATTGCTTACATTATTCACAATGATATTCAATATACAATTGACTATCCTCCTGTCGATCCGATGTCCCGCTGAATTTCCTAAAAAGAAACCATGATCTTTCTTTAATTTCTACAAAACATAAAACAGATTTATAAAAACATATATAATAGCTTTCAATTTGGAAAAAAAGTTTTTTTTTTTTTAATTATTATTAATATTTTTATTTTTAGCATTTCTTATTCTTTTGAATACAAGGAGGGAAAAAGTGACAAATTATTTGAAAATATTTTCATAAAAAATAAATGTTTACCTTTGATAATAATCAAATGGAATAAATGTTGTAAAAAAGAGGGTTGATCTAAAATTTCCTGGAATTTCTTTCTACAATTTTATCGTGTTTCGTGAAAGCAAACAGCAGGCATATTCATAGTATAGAGTTATAATGCAACAATATTGGAAAATTTCACCACTTTCCAGTCACCAATAAGGTCACACGAACTGATATAAAAAAAACGCACAATATGTTGCCTATGCCGTCTGACTATTCAGTATGTTTTTAAAAGTAGTTGTAAGTTTTGCATTCAAGTCTTTTTTACCCTTTCTGACGCCCATATCATTTACTTTAATCTGGAACAAAAGTAAAGTATTTTGCTGTGGTTTTCAATTACACACTTACAAATAACAACAACGTTTTATTAATGGACATATTCATTTTCATTCCTACATTTAATTCGATGTATTTCTTTGAACTTCTACTAGAGGAGTCCATAGTGTCTGACCTGTCTATCTCACTGAAGAAAGTATTCGGTGCACTTTATGCATAAAATGGACCTGTAGATATACAAATTAATTGATCAACACTTGATTTTCTATTTGAAGCACTAAAATAAAATAGAGACTTGGTGTTTTCATATCCTATTAAAAAATTTCTTCTAAAAGTTCAAGTCTAGGAGAGCTGGCTTTATGAAATTGCAATGTTCTTAAATTTTTAGGTGAACAGGTATAATTGAGTACTTTCAGTGAAGAAAAATAATATGAGCGCACTCTCTGATCTAAAAAATAAAACATGTCCAGTAATCCTCAGACACAGTTCTATCATTTACTAGTTGCACATTTTAGATCAGAGGTTGTGCTCTATATTAAATATCAAAAAATAGTTTAAAAATTGGCCGTTTTTGTAGGCTTTTTTCAGAATATGAGGAAATTGACGCATTTCATGACGTTATAACGCATTGACTCTAGCCAGAAAATGACGTCATTTTTATAGATACGCAGTCACTAAAGATCTAAGTGATATTTAATACATTGTTAACTAAAACTGTGCAGTTTCATTTTTTCAGAAATTCACAGGGCCAAATAAGGCAAAAGTGAACCTTGTTCTTACATATATGTCAAATTAACACATAAACAGGATGTCTTCAATTCTTCTATCTTTATTTTTCTTAATCTAAGGAAGCTCTAAACACTAACAGAAACTAACTTGTGGACCCAGGGAAAAATATATAACATAAAGATATGCATATTGAGACTTTTTCATTCATTTAGAACATAGGATACGTACCTTATTTGCACAGAAAAAATGTTCAAAGACAATGGACTATTTGTGATCAGAAATCACTGTTGTTTACTTACATTGGGAAAATTAATGAAAATAATAAATTAGATATCTTACTCTTGGTCTTATGTAATGCTAAAAATATTTAAATCTATTATAAGTTACTAGTAATCAACAGTAAATAACAATTTCTTTAATCTTACATATATGGGCAGATCACTCTAACTGCAAAAAACTAACCAAAAAATAGAGCTCTTTAGTGTGCAGTGTTTATAGAGCGTCCTTAAAAATAAGTTTCCCTATAGTTTTTGGTTGGATATGAAATTTATCAAACAAATTGTTCTCTCTATTCCTGATCTTTGAAAAAAAAAAACAAAGAGTAATCTAGAAGTGATATCCAGTCAAAAACGAATGGGAGTTTTTTATCAAATGATCGTACGTTTAGCTATCACACAGTCTTGATACATATGGACAT